TGCTGTACTGGAGGGTCTAGGCCCAGGCTCTGCTGTACTGGAGGGTCTAGGCCCAGGCTCTGCTGTACTGGAGGGTCTAGGCCCAGGCTCTGCTGTACTGGAGGGTCTAGGCCCAGGCTCTGCTGTACTGGAGGGTCTAGGCCCAGGCTATGCTGTACTGGAGGGTCTAGGCCCAGGCTATGCTGTACTGGAGGGTCTAGGCCCAGGCTCTGCTGTACTGGAGGGTCTAGGCCCAGGCTATGCTGTACTGGAGGGTCTAGGCCCAGGCTATGCTGTACTGGAGGGTCTAGGCCCAGGCTATGCTGTACTGGAGGGTCTAGGCCCAGGCTATGCTGTACTGGAGGGTCTAGGCCCAGGCTATGCTGTACTGGAGGGTCTAGGCCCAGGCTATGCTGTACTGGAGGGTCTAGGCCCAGGCTCTGCTGTACTGGAGGGTCTAGGCCCAGGCTCTGCTGTACTGGAGGGTCTAGGCCCAGGCTCTGCTGTACTGGAGGGTCTAGGCCCAGGCTATGCTGTACTGGAGGGTCTAGGCCCAGGCTCTGCTGTACTGGAGGGTCTAGGCCCGTGCTATGCTGTCTGATAAGGGATGCCGGGATCCCAGAAATGCTTAAACAGATTTACAAATTCTTTGGGAGGTAAAACAGTCCCCGGATAGGTATTTCAGGCATGTATTCAGCCGCTTCCCTGGAGTTCAGGTTTAAAGTCGCATTAAACCCAAAAGCACAGAATCCTCTTTATCCTCAAGCTCAAACTGACTACCTGTAAAATAAACTTTACTTTCCTTTGTTTTGGTCTAAATCAGTGGCTTTCAACCTATAGGAGTGCAGGAGTCTAAGATATAGGGGGGGTTTCCAATTTGGGGGCAACGTGTGGGGGTCTAGTGCTACAAAAGACTGTCATAGATTGAAGACCTACTAAAGAAAATGGCCATAGACTATGCTACAGGGGAGGTTGGAGACCGGAGTCATACTGTAGGAGACAGTCAGAGACTGGGGTCATATGTTACATGAGACTGCTAGAGATCCCTGTTACTGCAGCCCCTTTACAAATCAAAGCTCCCACTACTGGGGTCCAAGGGCCGCGCTGCAAACACCAAAGAGCCATATGTGGCCCTCGGGCCGCAGGTTGGGCACCGGGGGCTGTAAACGCTTCCATTTCTCGCTTTGGAAGATCTCTACCCTGGGTCCCACTTTCCCAAACTTACGGTCAGGGAGCTCACCACAAAGCAGGTCAGAGATTCAACATGTGATCTAATGCATCAGAACTACATTTCCCATGATTCCTTGCTTGTTGCCCATAATGCGCATGTGTTCCCTGAGCACGGCCCCAAGCAGCATGTGAAGATGGAGTCCTGGCCTGGAGCGTGCACATCAGGGTGGCTACGCTGGACTCCAGGGAGACCTTACAAGGCCACGTAGCCACCCTATAGGCAGACATTTACATACACCAAGCTTTTATAAGGCTCATTATGTTGCAGAGACTGCTCACAAAAAAACAGGAAGCACAAAATATCAGGCGTCCTGCTGCAATTTTTCCTCCTGGAGGGTTTAATACAACTTTAATCTTTTGCTGATGAGCAATGCAGCTTCCTGTTGATGCAATGCACTGACGTCGCCTACAAGGGGTTAACTGCTCAGTGGTGGGAGGTTATAATCCCGGTGTGGTCTAGTCCCAAAGTGAACAATGAATGACTCCACCCGGAAGACGGAGGGAACACGTTCCTTACCCAGCTGTCCTGCAGATGGTCAGCATGCTCTCTTTGGTTACAAAGTCAGACGGCAGTTTAATCAGGAGAGACATGAGGTGTCCGTAGCCCCAGGTGAACAAGTGCGAGCGGGGTCTGCGGACAACAGAAATGTGCAATTAGTGTCAACAGATTCACTATTTTTTTAAATGCCAAAAGGAGGATCTCAAAGTACTTCTGAGTGACGCCTTCGAGGTGTTTTAAAGAGAACCTGTGCTTGTCACATGCAGGGCTCTGATGAAAGCGTTGTGCAAAACGCGTCAGCTGTGTTCCTGCTGGCTGTTATTTAATAAAGAGAGATGTTTGTTGCATCACGGTGTGAGCACCAGCAGCTGGGGTATGCTGTAGACCTGGGGTAGCCAAACTCCGGCCCTCCAGCTGTGGTGAAACTACAAATCCCATGGTGCATCTCTCTCCGAGAGTCATGTCTGTGGCTGTGAGAATCTTGCAATGCCTCATGGGATTTGTAGTTCCACCACAGCTGGAGGGCCAGAGTATGGCTAGCCCTGCTGTAGACTGTTGAGCGTGGTTTCACCTGAAGCGGTACTACTAACAAAGACAGGATCACTTTAATGCAGGCCGCACCAGCCGCAAGTGCTAAGTATAAGCTTCAGGTAACCCTAAGGGCGGAGGAACCCTCCCCAAGGGCCGTCCCTATAATGAGGCGGTTGCAGTCCAGAGCGTTCCAGGTTGCCAAGAGTTCTTATCAACCTGGGGTGCTCTGAATGGCGTCCAACCCAGCTCATTTATGTCACTGGTTTCCAGGAGCTGGACGGGACACCAGCCAGAGTATGCCGCTCAGTTCCTGGCAACCAGTGAGCTGGGCCGGACCCAGAGGTAGAGCCAGCCAGAGTTGCCCTTGGCAACCAATCAGCATCTCTGTTCAGTTTGCTCAGGTAAGATTTGAAAATGAGAGAGAGAGAGAAGCTGATTGGCTGCAGTGCAAATCTGCTCCAGAATTAGTATTTGAGGTTGAATAAAGACACAGGTCCATCAAGTTCAACTAATCGTCTTCAGGTAAACTGATAATAGGTGAAGTGGATTTGATTGGTAGGTGTCACTGCATTGAGGATATTTTACTCCGAAGAGGTCATGTGACCAGATCACTCACTTTGGGTTTCCAGTGCTGTCGAAACTGCTTGAAGGGTGCGGTGCATCATGGGAAACCGCCAGCTGCAGCCAGTCTAGCTTTAAGGATTCAGGCTGAGCGAGGGACTGTAACAGGGATAATCTGCAACAACAAGCACACGAGGCTCGATTTACAAAAACCTCACACGAGGATAAACATCTTTATTATCAGTCATGTGACTGTCATTTTCACATCTCATTGGACTAGGCTGAAAATAACCATCAATATTTCCAAAAACAAATGTCGTTATCAGGGCCGGATTTACTCTCTCTGCTGCCCCAAGGCCAGGTTCCTCAATGCGTCCCCCTACCTGCCAACCCCCCCCCCCCAAACCCCCCTCCCATGGAGAATGCCAGACCTGCAGGCTGCATACAAGTGATCTCAGTGACATCGCCGGGATCACTTGCTTTGGGCAAGCAGAGCTGTACATTTAGCTCTGCTTGCCCAAAGCAGGGCTAAATGTAGAAAACAACTACCCGCCCGCCGCCCGGAAACTGCATGTCCCAGGCATCGGGAGATAGGAACTCCACACCCCTGCTGCCCCTCTACTCCCTGCTGTCCCAAGGCCGGGCCTTGGTTGGCCTTGTGGGAAATCCGGCCCTGGTCGTTATCTTTTGTTATAGCTTTCTGAATAGAGCCCACTGAGTCCTATATATGAAGAATTAGTATGTACTGAAGATAATTGGGGAGATTTCCTTTCACTTCCTGTTCCAGAGACTCGACAAAGTAAAAATGAAATCTAACTAATGGAGGAAATCAATACGCTCCTAGACAGGTGCCCCCATTGGGTGATTTCCCCTCTATTCCTGCTCTGGTAGCAATTGCAAAATGTTAGATTTCCTAATATTTACTATCCCGGGGGAAAAATCTGATGCAATGTTACCAACATTTTTCTTTTAGACGCCTTCATTAAAAAAAAATGTCTATTATTAGATTTCATTTGATGGATGGATATGATAACATGCAATTCTCTCTCTCAATAGTTTTGTTCCGATTACTCTTCATGTGCATTCCACAACAATGGAAGCTGACCAGTCCTTAAAATTTTGATTGCTTCAAACGGTTCTCTATCAGACTATTTCCCACCTACTTTCCAGTTATTGCCACTAAACAATTGTCACACTAAGGAGTGTATTTATAGAGCCATCAGCCCTGCAAAAATTGCATGTACATTCATTCTGTGTGAATGGAGGGGGAAAAAAACAAAAGTTCTTAGTAAATTTTCTTTCCAGGTCGAATGTAATTTCAGGTGAATACCACATTATGGCCACTAGATGGCGCTGAGGAAAGTAGAAAAGGAGAACTTATGTCCAATGCTCTTCAGCTCCATCTAGTGGCCATAATTGGGCATTTACCTGAAATTACATTCAATTTAAAAAAAGAAAATATGCGCATAACAATTGTTTTTGCTTCATTCACACAGAACAAATGTATCTGACATTTCGCAGGGTGAATAGCTCTGCAAATTGTTTATAAATACGCCCCCTAGGGCCCCATTCACACTGAGCGATTCGCAAATCGCGCGTTTGTCGCGCAATTTGCATTTTGCGCGATATCGCGCAAATGCTTGCATTGAGCAAGCTAGAATCGCGGCAAAATCCGCTCCAAAAAAGGGTCCTGCTGTAGCGACGCACGACCCGCGACAGCGACGGACAGAGCCCCATGCATTGGAGAGCAATATCGCGCTGTAAATAGCCGCGATAATCGCGGGAATTACCGCGCGATAAATTGCTCAGTGTGAACGGGGCCTTAGTGAAGTCTGCACAATACCGGCTTATCCCAAATCCTCTGAAGGGTATTGCCCTCTTTTCTCCATACCTTTGCTCTTCAGGTTTCGTTTTGATGAGGTTGTCCAAGTAAGCCAAAAAGTGCCCCGGGTTTGTCCTGCAGAGATGCTTCACGTCCACGGGTAAAACGGACGGGTAGAACTTATAGAGCGATCTCGCGGCTGATTCACCAAATTTTTCATAAATCCTATTAATACACAAACGTCAGTTGTGGTCAACTCTGGATTTCCGGTCTAAGGTCATCACTGTGAGAGTTATTTTAATGGGCGTCATGATAAAATAAATGCAATTCACAAGGATCGCATCACTTCTTGAGGGTCAACTCCAGGAAAAACATTTATTTTAGGTTTAACCACTCGCACTCTCATACCTTTTGGGCTTGTTCACACCAAAAACAGTGCGTTCCAGAGTGGTCAGCTGCTGGAACACACTGTATCACATCTCAGCCGGCATCCTGTGTTCAGGGGTGTGAGGGGGTGTGGCGGTGCATTGAAGT